GAGTTCATATTAAGATAAAGATAACAACAAATAAAGTACAAAATTGTTGCATGTAAGGTGTGTTTAAAATGGGAAAAACCAAATAAAATCAAGCATTAAAAAGACAGCGGCACAGGGCTGCACAATTAAAACAAAACAATAAATATAAGCAATCAAATTAAATAGAAAGAAAGACGAGGAAAAAAGTGATATAGTAATTGTGTTTAACCAACTGGTGATGTCAGCAAATGTTAGTTGAAATCTGTTTGTACAGTTGTTGAGTAATCTGTTTGTTAGTTCAATAGCAAACTCTATAAGTAGTATACGAATGAGGTGTACAACTCGGAAAGAATAATATTTGCAACTTCATTTCATCTTTTTCCTATATCTTAACTCAACACATCATCTTCCATATCCATCCTAGGCTAACTTTGACTAGCTTTTCACTCGTCATAGCTAGACGAAGTAGCTTAGGGGTAGAATCGATTACTTAGTTAATACATGCTATATCATTGGTATCAGAGCTTTTCAACAATCATGCACATTCGAAATCTACCACCGTTTTCTGCTTCATGGCAATATGTCACAACTCTCACCCATCAAACACAACTTGTCACTTGTAATTTCTATAATTATTTCTCATCAATGCCAATTATTGACCCCTTCGCAAATTACTATTATAGTCACTTCAATTAAGAGATTAGCATTTTTTGTAAAAACCATTTATTTTAATTAATTAAGAATAAATATGTAATTATTTACAAAAATTATATATATATTCACACCAACAAAATCTATAACATATTCCAAATCAAATTGGAATTGATACTTGACTCATTAATCCCTATTATTCTTTATGCAAAGGAAAAGGATTTTGTTGTTACAATTAGACACACACAAGAAAAAACACTCCCTCACCCATACTCTTTTTAAAAAATAAGGTGAACACCGACCCATCGTCTTAGAAAAATTCTACATAAAATTTATACTCCGTATTATTTCAGTACTTAAAATTTATACACTCTTAAAAAAAGAATGAAATTTCATTCAGATTCTTTCGGGACATAATTAGATTCAATTATGTGTACATTATCTAAATTATTAAGTATGATGTATTTCATATTGACTCCTACGACATCAAAATTTAAAAAATACCTCAAGATATATTATATTGAATTATGAATTCCAATTCAATCTATCTAAAAATTAGTATCCTAATGTACTTTTGATCGAGTAATTCCAATGTATACCTTGTTGCTCCAGCATATACAAGTATGTACGTAAGCCTCAACTTTTAAATTCACTAGTTACAAATGTAAGTTACAGGAGTTACATGTGAACACAACATTTAATTTGTGTACACATTATTCGTTTATATCTCGGCGATACTAGTTGCCCGTAGGGCACGGAAATGAATTACCCAAAATTGTACCGTTTTGTGGTTTTCAAAACGGAATTTAAATTTATATGTGAACAAGATAAAAGGTAGAGAGGTCTTTCACTACTCTTTCCAAAACTACTATTGAAATAAGACGTACTAATATACAAAATATTTCTAAATGCGTTATAAGTACACTCTCAATGTTACTTAAATGTAAAAATGATAATAAGTTTATTTGTTATGACATTGAACAAAAGTTATTGCGACCAAAATTACTATTATGGTCACTACACTTAAGACCAAAATTATTATTATGTAAACAACCTTTATTTTAATTAATTAAAAATAAATATGTAATTATTTACAAAAATCATGTATATTCACACCAACAAAATATGAAACAAATTTCAAATCAAATTCGGATTAATACTTGTCTCATTAATCTCAATTACTCTTTATCCGAAGGAAAAAGATTTTGTTCTTACATTTAGACACGCAAAAGAAAAAACACTCTCTCACCCATAGTTTTTAAAAAATAAGTTGAACACAAATCCATAGTGTAACACCGTCCCCAAGTATTTGTACCTTATCAAAATATGTATTGAATCCTAAGAAACGAATAAACGCATTTTACATGATTGTAAATTTTTATCATTTCTTTTACGTGAATAGTAGAATTCACGTGGGGCCCACACCGGAGGTGGGGGCCGCCCGATAGTATCGGGACCACATATTATATTCATCTGGGCCTAGATAATATGTATATGGTGGTGGATATCCTAATTGGGTCGTGGGAAAGGCATAGGGTTGACCGGTTGGTCAAACGAGGTCTAATTATCAGTATCGGCAATTTATTAGATAACAACCCGAATTGAATTTCGGAGACCTTTAAATTAAAGTTGGGGAACGTATATTCATTCTAGGGTCCAATGAGGATTTAGAACATGTGTTATATTTTATTTGACCCGATAAAATAAAATATAATTAAAACAGTCCGAAAAATACAACTTTCGGGACCGATTGTACACTTCGGGACAAGAAGGGATGACCTTCCACATGAGTGGGGGCCAACACACGAAAATACGTCGTCAATGTGTGCTGGGAGGCGTGGGAATGGGTGTGAGGTGTGAGGGAGTTGATTTGAGATGATTGGCATCAAAACAAAACATGTGGGGGCCTCCTTCCCATCACTCATTGCTCAAATAAGCGAAAAAGGGTATTCCTACCCATCCCCCTCTCACTAGCTCGGACAAGACCAAGGAAAAGAAGAAGGGAAGCTCTGCAGCTCCATTCTCCCATAGCCAAATTCGAGCTAAGCCCATGGAGGTCAAAGTTAGAAATTTAAAGAAGAAAAAGGAAGGAAAAAGTGTGGTGGTTAAGGTAATGACCTTATTTTAACTCTTCCTCTACTCCTTAACTACCATATGACTTATATGTTATATGGAGGACCCATAGAATTATTCTACATGTTTAGAGGTGTAGAATGAGAGGTTGGAAGGTAATTCTAGGTCCAAGGACGGACTTAGAAGCCAAAGTGACCGGTTCACCGGGAAATAACCTTTTGGAGGTTATTTGTATTAATATGGGTTTTATGATGATAAAACCTTGTTAGTAACTTGTCTAAGGTATTCAAGGAACTTTCACGGAGTTGAAAGGGACACCGAAATTGTCGCCGGAGTTCGTTGAAGTTCGCCGGAGTTTCGCCGGAGCTCAATAAGTGAGGCTAGAACTCCATAAGCTTCATTTAAGGTGAGAAGACGGCTTTATGCTTTATAATTTTTGCGTGAGGCATGATATTACCTAAATTAATCAAGAATATGTTTTATGGATTGATTAATGGTATTAAAGCATGTGTTATGTTATGTTAAAAAATATAACATAGTTGGAAAGCATGATTTGTAGGTTTGATTAGTGAAATTATCATAAATTGATATGTATGATGTTCCAAGGACCCATATAGGTATTTTTGGATTAAGGACGTCAAAGAATACTTGCATGTAAAATTTCACGTTAATCGGACTCCGTTTGGGCGGTCAAACAGGCGTTGACCGTCAAGTCAACTGCTATACCCGACCGGGTATGGGCAAGTACCCGACTGGGTATTTACTGCAAATTTGTGCCAGGGGCTACTATCTCCTATACCCGGTCGGGTATGGGTAGGTACTCGATCGGGTATGCATTGAAAATTCACCCCAGGGGGCTACTGTCTCCTATACTCGACCGAGTATAGGTAAATACTCAATCGAGTATTGGGTTTCACACCCAACGGTGAGAACTGTCCACGTTGATCACTAAGGAATATAATACGACTATAGGTCTAGGTATTGTCTATAGTCGAAGGAATGAAACATTAGCCACATCCAGGTTAGGATTTGGTAGGGCATAGACCGAGGATTGAGTACCCTTGGACGGTAAATGATCCAGAATACTCCAGGTGGGGTCGAGTTATCTTGGACGGTAAATGATCCAGAATACTCCAGGTGGGGTCGAGTACCCTTGGACGGTAAATGATCCAGAATACTTCAGGTGGGGTCGAGTACCCTTGGACGGTAAATGATCCAGAATACTCCAGGTGGGGTTGAGTGCCCTTGGACGGTAAATGATCCTAAATACTCCAGGTTGGGTTGAGTGCCTTGGACGGTAAATGATCCTAAAACACTCGGTAGTATGAATCGAAGGTAGACCATAGCTTGTGAGCTAGGCATCCGGGAAAGGAGTGAGTAAAGTCAGGTAAGAACTTTACCTCTAAAAGACTCTTTAAAGGAAATAACCTACGGGTTGAGTATTTTACAAATATATATATATATATATATATATATATATATATATATATATATATATATATATATATATATATATATATATATACACACAGTATGTATCATCGGGTGGATGAGTCACATCTAACTATATGTATCACCCTATATTTGGGTCTCGTGTCTGAAACATTAGTTATTCCCCATATAGCCTGCTTGGCACTAGTACTTCTATGGAGTACTGATCTCTTCGGGGGCTCTCACATTTTTTCAGGTTAAGACTAGAGTCCTTCTACCTACACATTTGCCTAAGGTGATTGATCAAGGAGGAAGACGTGGTTCGTGCTTCAATTCTTATTTGAAATTTATAAACTGCTCATGGATATTTTTTAAACAATGTTTTCTATTAAAACATTTGGGGGCCTGCGAGCCCGTGTTTGCCACGTGTGGCTAAGTATCAAACATTCTACTTCCGCATTTGTTTGATTATGATATTGATATTGATTGTATGTGTTTACTAATTGGTTTGGCAATAGAATCTATCGGACGCCTTGTATGATTCAATAAGGATGAACTAAGGTTGTTCTTATCGGGTTGTACGGTGGTTGTCTACGTGGCTCGGATGCGGTCCGGGGCGTAACACATAGCCTTAAAATATTTCTCTACATAAAATTGGTACACCGTATTATTTCAATACTTAAAATTTATACACAGTTAAAAATGATTGAAATTTCTATCAGATTAATTCTTTCAGGACATAATCAGATTCAATTTTGTGTACATTATCTAATTTATTAAGTACGATGTAGTACCTCCATCCCAAATTGATTTTCAAATTTAACTTTTTTTAGTCAAACACTTTCATTTTATTTGCTTAATTAGGATGTCAATTTTTGATTATATTCTAAATTGGAGTTTGTAACTTTGAAAAGATTTTAATGTAGTTTCTGAATATGTAAATTATAATTATTTTTTGGAAGAATTTGGCTTAAATTGAAATCTCAACATTCATATGATGGGTAATCCGACAAATAGAATCATGACAACCGCTGTCCTGCGAACCAGGCTCAGAGTTAATCACCTCACCAGAAGCAATATAACTCGCTGATCCATTAATGGGCACACATGAGGCATAAACGGTTACCCTAATTCCAAAGTCACCCACATCCAAATCCAATGTCTTACAACCATGAACAACAACAGCTAAACCAAATAAAAAACATGCTGAATAATGTGAGAAATAATAAAAACTAAAATAAAAGATGATAATCTTCCTCCCGAACTGCTTGTTGTGTATCTTCATCAAGATTCCTTGCTTCCGGCTCTGAACTCCTTTTGGCGGGCCTACTGCTCGACGCCCACAACCTCCCCGTTTTTTGTCCCATCCAGTGCCATACTTTCTTTCTCTTGCAGCTCATTCCCTTGTGTCTCCCAGAGTCTCCTGCGTTTCTGTTCTCCTGTTGCTTCATCCTTGTTCTCTTCTCTAGCGCCCTTTGTTATACTCTATTCTGATTCAGCCCCCAAATCCTTCCTCCCGTCTCTCATCCTATCCTCTGATTTAGCTCCCTCCCCATACCTATGGTCTCTGCCAGAGCTCGATGAACCCTCCAGTAACGTTTGGTTGCCTCCTGTAGGACTCGTCTTCCCTCCACTACCTGCTCTAAGATGAACTTCAAACTTTTTCTCCATCACTAGATCTTCATCATAGATCAAGTGACAAAATTTGTCTGAGTGTCCAATTTGTCCACAAATAAAACAGAAGTTTGGCAACTTCTCATATTTGAAATCTACCCAGTAACTTTTGCCATCCTTCTTCAGGTTTGTACCTCTTTTCAGGACTTTCTCCACATTCATACACACATGTATTCTCATGTAGGCCTCCCACTTGTCACTATTCTGGTTATCATCATATTTTATAAACCTGCCTATCAAATTACCAACCTTCCCAGCCGTACCTAAATTAACCAGGCTATATGGCACATTATGAACCTGAACCCAGAAGTCTGCCTCATTCAGAACAATTTTATGAGGAATATCATCAGGTCTAACCACTTTTAATAACAGTAAAATTTTCTCAAATTGCCATGGTCCTCCATCCAAAACCCGGTTCATATCTAAACGGTGATAAAAAGTAAAGAGATGCCTTTTCTCCCCGACTTCTTTAACTGGCAGGCCTTTTCCGGGTCTCCATAGCGACGCCATCATCTCTTTGATCACCGGGAAACGGATCTTGCGGTCCGTCAACAGAACCCCGACCACTGGGAAGCCCGGCTTGCTCTCCTCCTTCGGCACCTCTCCCTCCTCCGTATCGTCAAGGTCCAGATCGTCCTCCTCTTCCGCCAGAGCCATCCTTCTGTATTTGTCCACCACGCTTTCCATGCACCGACCCTTCTCTTTCTTTCTCTCGGTACAATCGATGTCCGATTTTGCTCCCCACGTGATGTAGTCCAGCAATCGATCGAACGAAGCTCAAAGAAAAATCAAAAACCCACCCAGCTTTACGCACCGACGCTTCGCGAACGAAGCTCGGAAGAAGGACTCTCGCTGCGCACGGCTCCCGGCACAAATCAGGTGAGAAATCGGCGGCAGCGGACTTGCCTAGGCGTTACCGGTGAGTAACCCTAGAGAGAGAGTTTAATCCAACCGTGTTCTATTTAGACAATGAACTTTATGTAAATTATAATTATTAAAAATTGAATTAATTATCGATAGGGAGGATTGACTTTTATTATTGGTTAACAAAAAAATGTTGACTTTGCAAAACAATTTGGGACAAAGGGAGTATTTTGTATTGACTCATACGACATCAAAATTTAAAAAATACCTCAAGGTGACCGTTGGAATATCAATTATTGAGTTTTGTCACGGATTTTTTTTAAAATTTAAATATCCATCCGTGACATATTTTTTTGAAATTTTTCACGGATTTTGTCACGGACCCCTCCGTGACAAATGACCGGAATCAAAAAAAATTATCCCGAAGTGAACTTTCAGTCGTCGGGACATTTTTTGTCACGGACGTAATCCGTGACAACTGTTTGTCACAGATTTATCCGTGACAACTGTTTGTCACGGATTTATCCGTGACAAAAATTCTTGGAAACAAATTACAAAAATCCGTGACAACGACCGTGACAACGTTGTAGTGATATGACATCACCAATTGGATTTCTAAACTCAAAAGTGAAATCACAATCAACCTAGGTATGCTAGTCGTCTTGAATTTCAACATTGCTTACTAACGTATTAACTGGGAGTGGTAGCAGTGGCGGAGCCAGAATTGACAGGTTACATGGGACGGAGCTTAAGGAATTTATATAGCAGGGGCCAAAACTTAAATTTTCACTATTTTTTTTACTACTTATAAATATTTATACATATATAAATATTAAATACATCACAATTTTTTTCTTGCAGGGGCCGTGACCACCGCCAACCCCTTTCTCCACCCTGAGTGGTAGCTACGGCCAACTTTTGACCTCAGATGAAATTTTAATTTGGGTATTTGATTATTTACTACTACGTACTATATTACTATAATAACATTAAAAGATCTAAAAAATCTCCAAACTTATATTATATTTGTATGAAAATTTGTAATTACACTTCAATAAACTATCCACATTTTTTAACTATATGCATCAAAGATTAAACATTTCAATTCAAACTACAAATTTCAGTACGTACTTTACTCATATTTATACAAAAATTTATCTCTACAAAAATAAATTTACAAAATAAATAACTAAATTAATTAAAAGATGGAAATACTTACCAAGTTGAGCGAGGCGGAGTAGACTAGGCAGAAATGGCTCCAATTTGTCGTCGCAGTGGACTCCGGTTGAGGTATACCGCAGGCGGCCGACCAGTAGGGAGGTGGAGCTAGCGAATAACGAAGTTGGGAAGGACAAATAGAGATGAGTGCGCCGAGATGATGTGCGCCGGTGTGGCCGTCTCGGCCTGCGGCTGTCCCAGCCGGCCGGCCGCTGCCTTCCGCCGATATGAGTGCAGCGCCTCCACTGAATCAGCTGTGCGTCGGCGTGTCCGTCACAAACCACGGCAGTCAAGCCGGCTGCTGCCTTCCGCTGAAATGAGTGCAGCGCCTCCGCGGCGGTTTTTATATAAAACCCGCGTCGCATGGTTCGGGAAAAAAAATTAAATTTAATTCGCAGCGGTTGTTAAGTTGTAAACCGCCGCGCGTCTCGAATATTTTTTTAAAAGAATTCAAATACATATATGCATCGGTTTGTTTATAATAACCACCACACATTATTCGAAAATAATAAAAATTAAATTATATGCGACGGTTGTTACATACAAACTGTCGCGTGAAAGAAATTTCTTTTTTATTAAAATTGGTGGCGGTTATTAAAAAACCGCCGCTTAATAGGTGCTGCTCGTTGCATATTCCGAAGTACGATGATTGGGTCAGGTGCCCAAACACCCAACTTTCACTTGTTGTGTGCTTCTATGATTAATTGGATAAGAAATACTACCTCCGTCCTGATGGACTTTGCCAAGTGCAAAGTAGGTGTGAAATAAGAAAGTAAAAATTGCGTGGTTAAGATTTGTGTTAGGAGAGAGAAATGTGCAGAACCACAAATTAATTGTTTTAATGGAAAAGTGACAAAATTTTTTGAGATAACCAAAAATGGAAAGTTGATAAAGTTCAATGGGACAGAGAGTATAATATTAAGGTGACAACTCTTACCCATTTTAAAAATGGGGTACCATACCTACCACTCACTTGATTGGTTCAAATCGTTACATCATTTTTAATTTAGATTTAAATAATTCAACTACATCATTCTTATTGGTCCATGTGTACAAAGGTATGGTACCTTAAGGGTACCATAAAATCTACCTAATATTAATGATCACGTTCTTGAAAAGTATATTGTTCGTGAAATGAAAATGAAAATGTTCAAAAATTTAAAGTGATGGAGGTGAGATATAATGATTATTTTTCACGAAATCCTCCAATATATGGTATGTGGTGATTGACTTTATTCATATATTTATATTACAAGCACACAATTGTGAAAATACTGATGCTTTTGTCCAACCTTAATCGTATAAAATATAGAAATTCAATTTGTGAGAACAACGGACAAACCTCCCCAAAAATAAAAATTAATAAAGCAAGCACAATTGAACACCTCCATGATATATAATCATGTACTATATTTTATATAAATTATTTTAATATAGAAAATGAAAAACAAGTGATAATCATTCCTCCATTACACATGCTTGTACAAACATAGACGTATTCAAGAAACAATAATCCATCCATCCATCCATTCTTTTTCCTTTACGGAGATCGAAAAATAAATGACTTAATAGAAATAGGGGAGCGGTTCCGGTAAGAATGGATCTTAGGAGAGAAATGAGAATGAATCTGGACCGTTGGATTTAATTATGTGGAACTGAATTGTGCATTTAGTGAAACCGAAATGTGCATTAGATGATATTGAAATGTGCAGAATTAAAATTTAAACTCACATGTGCATTAGATGAAATTGAAATGTGAAGAATAAAAGGTACAAAAATAACATCACATCGTACCTTTTATTTTGCACATTTTAGTTTCATCTAGTGCACATTTCAAATTCATCTAATGCACAATTTAGCTTCACATAATGTCACTACATTGTACCATTTGTGTTGCACACTTCAATTTCACGTAATACACATAACAGCTTCATCTAATGCACATTGAATTTCACATAAAGCAAATCTAACGGTTCAGATTCATTCTCATTTTTCTCATAAGATCATATTCTTACTTGAACCAGAAATTGTTCCTAAATATATATTCCTACTTGGGTCTAAGCTCAATACCCTCAACAATGAGCCCTCCTTTCAAATGCCCACCCTTAACCTCTCTTAGGCTCACCTCAACCTCTTTGCCACAGTCACAGTCATTGTAAAACTCTCCCAACTCCATCTCCAACCATCCATCATCACGCTCATAAACCACACTCTCTGGTCCTGCAGGGTGAAGCCTGGACTTTAAAGCCTCCACTCTATGTAACATGAAAGCTCTTTCCATGGCTTGTTTGGTGTAGGAATTCTTGCGCAAATAAACGATTCTATGAGATTGAAAAGTCCCAAACTTGATTGAAATCTCAGATGGAAGAGAGTCCAATCCAAATGCACGACCAGCCAGCTTGAAAATGAAATAGGCTCCATACATTGTATTTGAGGACAACATTCTTGTGCTTATGTTTGCTTTGATTTCTAGCCAACATATCATTACAAGCTCCACAATTTTGGGGAACCTGGTGATTAGGAATTGAGAAATCATGCATGAGATAACTATGAAAAGTTGAGGATTAGTTTATACACTATCCGGAGCCTAGAGGCAGGGCCGTCTAATGAATTTGGAGACCTCGATTTCAAATGTAAAATCGAGACTGACATGTTAATACAAAAAATTAAAAAATGTAATAATTTTTCTAAAACTTATTTAAAAATTTGAATGCTCATTAAAAAATGTAATACTCCCTCCGTCCCTAAAAAACTTCCAACTTTCCCTTTTCGTCCGTCCAAAAAAGAACTTCAATTTCCCTTTTTGGCAAAGAATTTGTGATTCATAGCATTTCTCTCTCCTCTGCACAACTCTCCATTACTCAATTCCCACTTTCTTAATCAGCGTGTCACTTTATTTTGGAAGAACATTTAGGGACGGAGGTAGTAATTTCTTTCTAAAACTTACTTAACACTTGATTTAAAGCAACACAACTCTTTATTTAAGCAATTTGAATAAAAGAGAAGTAAAAGGAAAAACGAAAAAAATGATAGATCTATATTTTTATTTCTTACTACCTCTATTTTAATATTAAATATTACTATATAATACTAATCAATTTTTAAAAATCTGGGGTCCCATAGATTGAGGGGCTCTGTTCTAGATACCTTAAAAATATTGACTTAATTAGGACTAAAACATAGTGAATATTCCAACTTAGGACTTAATATTTTAAATTCCCTAAATGGGACTCCCTATTACTATTTTACCCCTGATATGTTAAATCCCTAAATGCATCGGCATCTCTCTTCCGCATCAATGGCCCCAACTCTCTCGCATATCAATCGGTCTCTGCTGATCTCCTCTGCCTCCTTTTCTGGTCGATCGCCCAGACCTCTCCCATGTCCGCCGGTTCCAAGCTCCACGACTCTGGTTGAAATATGTCTAGGTAAGTGTTTCTTCTTCTTTTCCTCCTTCCTCCTCCTCCTCCTCCTCCTCCTCCTCCTCCTCCTCTTCTTCTTATTCTCTTATGTTCTCTGCTCTTTCATTTTAGAATGTTTTTATGTTAATTTTTGTTGTTGATTTTTTTGATTCAAAATGTATTTTTTTTTATTTGAAAATTTTGGATTTGGGACTTCTGGATATGAAATTTGAGGCTCTATCAGTTGTCCTTCGATATTATATTGGTCTGGTTTTTTTATTATGTATGTCATTCACCTTCTAAAAAATGCCACATGATAGACAATTTTTTGGAGACATGATGGCAATTTTTTGGAGATGGCAGTATTATATGTTTGAAAATGCAATGTTTTTGACATTTGTGAGAAATGATGACATTTTTATGACATGAGAATGTCATATTTTTTATCTGAAAATGTCATGTTGTAAATTTGTAATCTCAAAATGACATGTTTTGCATCTAAAAGTGTCATGTTTTTGTCTTTGAAAATGTCTATGTTGTAATCTCAAAATGACATGTTTCTGCATCTCAAAATGACATGTTTTTGTCTTGGATGTTATGTGATGACAATTTCACCTGAAATTGATAACTTGCTCTCCAGAGGAGGTAGCCCCAACAAGAAAGATGTCGACACCTCCAGGGGAGAACTTAACAGTGATGGATGACACTGTAACACTATTCTCACCGGAGGGAGAGGATAACACCGGTAGTCTTGTCGGTGGAAGCGGCAGCGACCTCGCCGGTAAGTGGCGGCGACGGTCTTGGTGGCGATGAATGGCGTAGAGGAGGGTATTATTGGTGGCGATGACGGTCTGAAGAGGTCTTGCTGCAAATAGTCGGTGGAGGTGCAACGATCATGGCCCTATTGAATATGTTTTTGTTTTTGTTTCATTAAGGGTAATTTTGTCCATCGGTACAATTTTGGTCCTATTTTGATCCATAAAACATGACAGTCTTATTTGTGCAATTTTACTCTATTTTAGTCCCATTTAGGGAAATCTCTCATAACTTAATTAACCCCCTAAAAACAACGTCCTTGCCCAGAGGAATTTATGAAATTACCTAGAGCCGAGGAGGGGTTTCCAGCTCCAATAGAGGGCATTGCCAGAAAATGCAATTGAAAGATCACTTGCACTAAACGTGTAACACTTCTTGCTGCTTTCCCTATCAATGCAAAACGTCTGCATGGAATTGAAGCAATTAAACATGTAAAAAGAGTTATATACTCTTCTCTCATACGGAGTATATTTTTTGTTAATAATGATATCAAACTTTGGATAATGAATTTAGTTATTTGTACTATATCTGTGTGAAAACTACATACTATGTATTTTATTCTTTTATCTGAAAGTATTTTTAATAAAGAATACTTTCATGTAGTATATATATTTTTATATTTACATAATTTGTATTTAAAACAGCTATTAGCACTTAATAAGAGTAAAATTACTCCAAAATGCAACATTAGGACTATAATCTTTTTATTGATTCCCATAATAGGAGTAATTTATGTTCCCTCTTAGCTTCCTATAATTCTCAATAAGACTTATTTTATTAATGATAAATTTTATAATAAAAAAAATATTTAGGGATTTATGATAGAAATCTAAAAAATAAAATAAAAATAATAAACAAATAATTAAAAACTTTAAAAAATAAAATAAAATAATATCCTTCCTCCGTTCTTTTTTAATCGCAACGGTCCACTTTTCACGCTTGCCAACACACAAGTTTGACCATTAATATCTTTCATTTCTTATTAGTAAAAAAATTGATAAATTCAGATTTTGAAAATTTAGAATGAGATGAATTATAGAATATTTTTAAAATTTTTAATTTATAATACATTAATAAATAAAATATAGTCAAAGTATAATACTATCGTATGTAAATAGTGCAAAAAGTCCGATGTTGCAATTAAAAGAGAACGAAGATAGTACTCCTTACGATGCTTGACTGACGATAAAACAACTTAATACATGCTCACACTCTGATTATTTTAAGTAAATAAAATTTACATATTCAGAAATTACATTAAAACCGCTACATAGCCTGATAAAAAAATGTAAATTTGATAATAAAAAAAAAATGATATATAAAGCAAAAGATTAAGAATGATTTAAGTTGATCATGTGAATAGTGAACGAGAACTTTTGAATGAGACGGGAGTATATAATAAGAGAATATACGACAAACCTTATTTTTAGTACTATATGATTATATTAATATACGTAGTATAAGAGAATATATAACAAACCTTATGGCCTCCATCCATGAGAAGAGGGCTCAAAAGCTTGACAAACAACTCTTTCTTGGACATGAATCTTATGGGAGACACTAATCTGCTCAAAATCTCCAGATAATCAGATGGCAGGAAAGTGTCCCACAACTGGTCTGACTCGGCGGCGGCGCGTAAAGCCATCGAGACCAACGACAACCGAGAAGCCAGGCAGGGTGGTACGCGGGATAGGATTTGAACGATACAATCCTCCGGCAACCTCTCCAGCAGGGTGGTAGACGCCATGGCCGGCTAGCTTGGCAGCTGGTAGCTAATAAGGCAGGCAGCAGATAAGATAATTAACATGTAATTATATAATTTATACGACAATATTATTGTAAATATGACGACATGCAAGTGACATATGAGGACATTGAAATGCCATTCCATGATTCCATCCCCGCAACTTTAGCTCAATCACTTGGCGTTCACAGTTCGCTATCCAACCAAACTAAAAAGATCGATTATTAAAAGAGTGAAAAAAGTGGGAGCAAAACATAGATATGAATTGTCCAATCTCTCCCTATATCTATTGTTTGCTATAATAACATTTGGAACAATATTTAAATGAGAAAATTATTATAAATAGATATGTGTTTTCCTAGAGTACGACTAATTATGATTTTTTCCTATAAAATGATGCACGTTGCTCCTATGTTTTATAGACAACAGTGTAACACTTCACATAATTTGGTCATACACCACATCAAAAACATCTATAGTCATATTTTTCTAAGATTAGACGAAAATGTCCCTCCATTAACAATTTGTTGGTCTTCAACATAATCCTGATCGAGGGCATTTTGGTCCTTTCATATGGGGTTGGGGTGAAAAAACAAATATTTGTAAAAACGAGTGCAAAATCCAATTTAGACAATAATATGGGGTGCAAACTCCAATTACCCCATATTTTCTTCATTTTTCTAATAAAATATACTGTAAATATAATTTTTTCATAACTAATCAGCCAATTCAACCACAAATTCATAAATTTCAACGGAATGAAGGGATGATTTAACCAATTTCAATATTAGCTAACGTATGGAGGTTTCTTTCGTTTTTTAAAATGACATGATACAAAAGAAGTGATGTTTGACGACGCAAGGCGAAAGTGGCATAAACCAAAATTTCATAAACTTGTGAAAATGTCATAAACAAAATTTGCATCATCCGTAGGCCTACTCTTCGAATTGGCCGGTGAACAACTTTCCCGTTATAAATAAATCTTTCTTGACGAGTTGACGTTCTATGTTTTTAACAAAAACTTGTGGAAGTGAGATACTTACATATGGGTGAAAGATGAGAATTGAAAAGGCAAAATCACAAAAAAAAAAAAAAAAAATCTTTTGATGTCGATATATAGACCTAACATTTGGTGAAGAATTTCTCCCTATGCAGCTCTTCCTAGCCGGAAAATGTAAATGGAAATCTTTTGAGTACTACTATATAGGGAAATCTGTGCATTGCATTACTAGACGAAAACAGTTTGAAAATTCCAAAATAGTACTGTCATATTTTTATTCCCAAAATAAGAATAATTACTGTCATGTTTTGGAAGTACCAGACTTCAAACATGTCAGTATTTTTTAAACGTGGCAGTAATTAGTCCTATTTTGGGAATAGAAAATATGGCAGTCCTATTTTGGAATTTTGAAACTGTTTTAGTCTTATTTCGAGAATTTTTCGTTGTTTATATTATACGAAGTATTACCTGGGACGTACTAATGAAACTAATTTTTACATTTCAAATTATTCAAAATCTCATTATCAAATATGTGCTCATAAATTAATGGTTCTTGTATATTTTTTGCACATCCCTATTATAGTACTCCCTCTGTCCCTTAAAACTTTGCCACTTTCTCTTTTAATCAATTTTTTTGTGGTTTCTGTTATTCCTCTCTCCTCTGCACAAACCTCAACCACACAGTTTTTACTTTATTATTTTCCGTGTCGGTCAACTTTGGCAAAGTTTTAAGGGACGGAGGTAGTATCTGCTTCGGTTAATGCCAACAACTTTGATTACATCGAGATGACACTTGAACTGTGACTTCCTTTTAATGAGATCAATAGTGACTCCATCAATGTTGCCATGAGACCAGAAGGTACTTGACGATTCTTTGAATTTAATTAACCCGTAATGACAGTAAATAAATGAAAAACATATAACGCCACAAAATATGAGCCCATCTGGTAACATAAAAATTGGTTGAATCGGTTGATTCTGCTGAAATTTATGGAGTTCTGGCTGAAACGACTATATTGGCTGATTCAACTACTTTATGAAAAAAATTACATTTAAAATTTTTTATTGATAGAACAAAACAATTATATGAAAAAATAGCTAAAATGATCCTCTACGGTAACTTCAGTCAACACAATCATAAAAGTAACTCCAACCTTAATTACTTTTTCTTATTACTACACAATTCAGCGAGCAAAATCAAAAGTTACGTGTTTGGTGAAAAAGTTGACTGATAAGTCTGATAAACCGAAAAACAGAGTCACCAAACGGACTCATAATATCTGAATAGCTCCATAACATATACGTAGTAACCCGGGGCGGAGCCGGGGGGTCAGGGTGGCCAGCTGACCCCGCTAAAACGAGAGTATAGAGCTCTGAAATATCTTCGATTTGGTATATTATGATCCTATTGCTACGGTGCCTATTTATCTAAACTACATACTACATCTGTCCTGAAATAATCGTCCCGGTTTGACCTTCACACAGATTAAGAAAGTGAAGTTGACTTCACATTGTAGCGACACTGTTTGACACTGTAGTGACTCTGTTTTGTATAGATTTGTTTACTAAATAAGGAAGGAGACAATTATTTCGGGACGAAGGGAGTATATAAAATTCAATTTGGACATTGTTTAAAAACAATCCACCATTTTCGGTCTCCACCACCTGTACTAACATAATACTCGTATATAGATAACGGGGACAAAAAAATCAAAATATTAAAATACACATTAAAATAAAATGGAAGCGGGAAACGTACTTTCTTCTTTGCAACAAAATTTTTCTTCCTTGATATGTTGGTCGTTCATTATATCCATTAAAGAGTAATTGGTATCTACTACGTATATATAGTTGTCATGAATTGGTCCTAGCTTGAGTTTTTTGGTAGAAGAAACATTTATTTTAGCATCACCCAATTTGTCCGTAGCGCCAATAATATTGATGACACATTCTTATAATTTTGAGGTGTCATACCTTTAGTTCCCAAAATAAAGCCACGACATCACAACCCATATCATTAGTTGTAACATAATATTTTCTAGATGAAATCACTTTTTAGCCGTATGCCTTTAAAAATTAAAATAAATGCCTCAAAATCTGTATTCAGCGTCTGGAAATTAAATTAAATAATTCTTTTCAATGAAACATGGAAAAATCTTATGAAAGTTTCTCATCATGGCATCCGGAAATAGTTCTTCCAAAACATATATGCAGGTATAAACTATAGAGAAAATTGTCGGACTAAAACTCAATCTTTTTCTCAAAATAGGATCACATGCATGTTTTTCTCTAAATAGGACTAACCTTACCTTTTTTACCCCTAATTCTATTTAATTAATTAATTGATCTAAATAATTGCCCCCCCCCCCTAATTTCCTTGCACAACCAAGACAGTCCGGAGGTGGCGGCAGCTCGGCAGCAGCGGAAGAGGCGGTTTCCGGCGGCGGCAAGAAAATAACAAATATTAAATAGACAATAAATAGACAATAAGTAGACAATAAATAAACAATAAATTCTGATAAACACCATTGCGGCGGCGGAGAACTCCGGCGGTGGTGGATGCGGCGACGGCAGAATCTGGCAGTCTGCCAGATATTTTTTTTGAATTTTCCGGCGGCGGCGGCGGCGGAGGCGGCGGCGGCGGCGGGTGGCGGCGGCGGCAGAATCTGGCAATCTGCCAAACATTATTTGGAATTTTCCGGCGGTGCTCCGGCGGCCGCGGTGGCCGGAGCTCTGGCGGCAGGCGGCTGGCCGGAGGTCCAGGGGCAGCAGTGGGGGTATTTTGGTCCAATCACACATAAAAAGTCCTATTTAAGAATGTTTAAACTAATTGATCCTATTTTGAGAGAAAAACCATGTTTTGATACTATTTAGGTAAATTTCCCTAAACTATAAAGTTCTTGAAATCATATAGGATAGCATATGGCAATTAAACTTGAATAGATCGATGATCACTATAGTTGAAAGAACATACGTTCTGCCTATCTGACATGAAACCTAGCTTTAAAGACCATGTAGAATCAACTTTAAATTGGTTGCAATAGGTATGAAGAACAACTGAATAAGTATTGTTTTTGAACGCACAAATAGAGAAAAAGGATATACATAAAAGATATTTGAAATATCAAGTGTTGAGTACTGCATACATTTCTCTGTGTTTGTATTTGAATTTTAAATTCGGAAAAGTACGGAAAAAGTACTGGTGGTTAGGTCCGTTTTCAGATAGGATCATGTGTTTCATTCTTTATCAAAGTAGTTCATGTGTTTGAATTCCTTTATCACAAGAGGGTCACGCCGTTAAAAACGTCTAAAAAGACTGTTAAAAGTAATTCCGATTTTCAAAAGTGCCCGAAAAATTAAAAGAAAAATACTGAAAGGTGCGCCTCGTCAAGATGACCTCCAAACCACCTCCGCCTTTGAATTTTTCAGATCTGTTTGAATTATTTTTTAAAATGATTTCGCTAATGTCACTTTTCCGATGGACTTTCCGGTGACAAGGGTGGCTCAAAACAAAAAAGAAAGATGGCCTAGCGGTCGTCTTATTGTGGCGCACATTCTTGTATTTTTCTTTTAATTTTCCGGGCACTTTTGAAAATCAGAGTTACTTTTAACGGTCTTTTTCAGACGTTTTTAACGGCATGACCCTCTTGTGATAATGGAATTCAAACACATGAACCACTTTGATAAAGAATGAAACACATGACCCTGTCTGAAAACGGGCTCAACCACAAGTACTTTTTCCGTACTTTTCCCTTTTAAATTAATACTCCCTCCGTATCTATTTACTTGTCTCGCTTTCCCTTTCGTGACGTATCAAAAAAAATGTCTCATTTCTTTTTTTAGACATGGACCCCACCACCTTTTAACATCCCATCATTAAATTTTTATATTTTCCATTTTTGTTTTCACTTACCCCATTATTCCTCCCCATTAAAACTCATCCCACTCAACCATATCATCCGCCTCACCCGTCCCCATTAATTCGGCCATTATCACCCCATATCTCGAAGCATCTGTCTCTCTCTTTGGAACCGTCTCTCTGTATCATCGCCGTTTATCTCTGGGTTATATGTATCTTCATCGCTTGAGATTTCTCTTATACGCCTTCCGTTTGTCCATCCTTCTTGTTTTTCTCTCAATCCAGCCTAGCCTCACAGTCCTCGTCTTCATTCCGGCTCTGTTGTCTGCCACCTTATCCTAGCCCTGTTTCCCATCTCTGACCTACGAATCCCCTGTTCCTTTGCATGGATCCGTATGACTCCGATTCTGAACTGATACTGCTTGAATAAGGGCTTAACGAAGGATGTACCTCACCTCCTTCAGAGAAATCAAAGGAAGGCCCTGTTTTGAGTGATGTTGTCACTCGCCTAGCGGATCCGGCAGCTGACTC